GCAGGGTGGGTGGGGGTATAAGTATTTTTAAGAGCTCTCTCCTGCAGCCACTGAAACGTCACTCACTGGTGACTCCGGGGTGTTAATATGCTATTCAGGTCCTCACAGGGGACGGAGCCTAAATGTTGAACAACACAAACAAGCTGTGAGAGAAAAGTTCTGCTTTCAGCTCAGTGGATTCAACAGAGAGTGAATGAAGTCTTTTCGTTACACGGTGTCGCAGCTATACATGCAAGTGTAGAAGTTCAGGTAAAGTGTTACAGAATGTTATGTACAGTGTACATATTAGCAGAACTTTATTTGAATGCATCCAATTAAACTTCCCCAGAGTTTCTACAGGTTTCAACACAATCAAATTTAAGTTCATAACAAACGAAAATTAATTTGTCAAGTATAGATATGAAGGAATGAACCAGAATTACTTATATATTTCTCGTAATTGAAGATAAGGATTAAATTAGTTATCAGTTCCATGTGGGCTGCTTTTGTAGTTTGTGTATTGTATAAAACTGTATTGTTGCGAGAGAAGTACAACACACATTACAATCAATGCATGCCACCAAATAATTTCTCTTGACAAAAAAAAGAGGGATGTAGCATCAAATGAACATCAAATGTACAAATTCAGATTTACACAAACAAAATTAAGATCTAACACAAGATATTTTAACGTACTCGACAAACACTAATTCCAACTGAAGTAGAATCTGTAGAAGTCACTTCAAGAGGAAACTGTTTCTGTTTTAGACGAATAATTTGGAAAGAAGAACAAAACTAGCTGAAGCAGTCGTGGGGGATAAAACAGGTTCTGAGAGCTCATTCAACAAGCCTGAAGATATGGGATCAAAATAAAAGCTTCACAAATGCAGCAACATGTGCAGATTATATGAGATTAGAGGAACGTAACAGTGCAAAGGAAAGTCGCTGTGTGTTCCTAAACAACAAATGAAGCAGGAGGGCTTCATCTACATCATAACATCAGCACACATTGATTTGTACTTTATGGAAAACATCCACTGCACAATGTGTTTTCTCTGGATCCTGCAACTCCATAACAAGGGCTATAAAAGAAGTTAACTCCTAACTGCTTCAGCTGTTTATGAATACTAATATCGTAAGCGATAAATACCCGGATCTGCACCTAATTTGAATGGGTTGGTCCCTGACCCAAATGTTGCCTTGCTTGGTGAATATGATAAAATTATAAAGATAGTTCACTGTTAAAAAATAAGATTTATCACTTGTACAATGCAAATGTACAATTACAGCAAAGTTAATATTCAACCTTCTCCATTCAAGTCAACATGCTGAATATGTTTGAGCATCTACAGGTCAAAATGTTTCGTGGCTCAACAGAGATCCAACTAATGTAAAATCACAGTAACAACTCTGACACTGAACCAGGATGGACCCAAACATGTGCCGCTTCACAGGGCCTCAAATTAAATGTCATTTCATTTCCAACATCTGCAGCTTTGGGCTGTAGACACATGCTTTATTTAACAAAAAAGGAACCATAACCTTTATATAAGCCACAGTCAACCGCATCGCTTGTTGTTCGATTAAAAGCCAGGAACCTCTTTGACCCTGCAGAACAGTGTTGCTCTGCTAACACAGCCATCAAACACGGCGGCAGGGGAGCAGTGCTGTGAAGCTCAGAGAAGCAAAGCCTTGATGTCTCTACAGAAAGAGCAGAACTGTAAAGCACGCTGCCCTTTCCCCCGATCCTTCAACCTCCACCTTCTCCATCCTCCCGTCCTCCGTCTCCTCCTGTTTCCACACTGAGCAATGATGCCTGAAACCTGCTCATCTCAGCTCATCACGTAACCTCAACCCGAGAGTCAGAGGACGTCCTTACTCATTAAAAGAATAAATTCAACTATTTAATATGATGAATAATATGTCTTTTGTATTTGTGAATAAAAGTAATAGAGGGAGCCCGGCGAACTTTAACTGTTTGAAGACTGAAGCCATAACTGAATCACTTGAAGAGTGAGTTGATGAACTGCAGTCATATTGAGATTTAGAGACTGGACGACTGAGGCAAAGAAGCGAGATTGATGAAGCTAAAACAGGATGTGAGGATGTTCTGCCCTGACACTGTGCACCATGACGATCTGACCAGTCAGGTAGCGATCAGCATCATCAGCCTCTCTAGATATCAGAGCTGCTAGTTCAGTAAACGGCTTTAATAGAAAACTTCAAACATTTCTGTGTACTTCAGCCTTTAACTAGATATCGCACTAGCCCGCAAATTTCACCCTCTTTCTTTTCTGTTTTGATGTATTTTAATATTTTCATGAACGTGTTTGTATTTGTATCTTTACTGTACGTGAAGCACTTTGAGTGTTTTTTCAATTCAGGTGCAGATTTTGATAAATGTCCAGATCTGGTGAATTTAAATGTGATTTCATAAGAGGACTGCAATATTTAATCTGTGCAGTAAAAGCATGCATGAACACACTATCACACCAGTATAAGCCCATGTGCACACACTTAAATAAATGTAAATTACATCATGAATAAGATCTTCACTATAGACTCCAGGCAGCGATTGGTAACAGGTCTATAGTTTCAGTTTTGTACTAAATTAGCAGAAGAAGACAGAAAAGGAATTGTCTTACTTCACTACACAGCTTGAGAGGGTGAGACAATTTAAGACCAGCAGTGTGATGATCTTCAGCTTGAAAGTTAAAATCTGACCAGTAACTCTCATCACGCTTCTGAAAAGGAGGAAACGGTCAGCAGAATTTAAAATGTAAAGTGAATGAGCATGACAAATAAGAGCTTCTCCCAAAGTTAAGTATCTAACCTGCTTCACTGGGATTTATGGCGACAACCTTGGGCTATTAATTTCCCTTTTTCCCCTCCAGAAAAAAAAGGCCTGTACAGACCAACCAGTCTCCACGGACCACCTTCTTTATTACTCCGAGCTGACTGAGGGCCCAGATGTTGCTGCCACTGAATCAAAATAGTAAAAAGAGGAACATTCGCAGCCGTCTCTGCAGAGTGGATGAATGATGTTTCCCCTCAGAGACGACTTAAAACACTTCTGCATCTGTGCCGCAGGTTGTTTTTAAAGAAAAAAACTACAGATGTCCCGCTGACTGAATGCAGAACCCACAGCGTCACTGCCACACTGCACAGTCCACCGCCCTCATTGGTGACCACGGACGTGATTCGAATCCGTGTTTGACCTCAGAATTGTTTTAAATGGAAAGTGATCCGGAGTGCGTTCTTATTAAAGCTAGCACACCTCCCACAGCCTGGTGAGCACAGCAATCAATTCCACTCTGTAGCGTTGGCACCTGAGCTGTTAGGCCATGAAAAAGCTCTGAAACCAATTCCTCACACTGCTCACCTCAGTTATTAGTCAAGTTTCAAGTTTTTTGTTGATGCAAAAAAAGGAAAACTTGTATTCACTATTTACAATTTTCCCTTTGATAAAGATTATAAATGATTTCTTTGTGACTTGCCATGAAATCACATAAGTGAGAGATACAGTGTCTCCCTGCTTGTGGAGTAAAGACACACACCAGGCAATGCATCCACTTGATCCTTACGCCGTTTGACAATCATACTCACATGTGTTTTTTTAACCTGAGGCTCTCGGCAAAGGTTAAAGGTCAGATCTGTGTGGAGTTAACACATGAATGACGACTACTTGAATGAAAACATCTTCTGTAGCTTCTGCAGAGGTTTGGCGTCTGCAAGCACAGCTTGGAGCTGACTGAAGTAAGCGCACAATATAAAATATTCATTCAGTATACAAGCAGTAAAACAGCAGTACGTGAGTCCAACAGCTGTTGTTCATCACTTACAGGTCATATATAACGAATAACACGTACAATTTGTTCTTTGCAGGTTTCACAGGCGCAAACATACAAGTATGTTGAAATGGTTTTTCTACATTTTTGATGATTTCTCAAAGAAACGTGTGAATCTTGAAGATAAAATATGGATATTGTGGATTTAAATGTGGATACAGAGTTTAGCTGTTTTCCAGCCACTGCTTACTAATAACAAATCTATCCTCATGTAGTAGTTTATTGTTGAGGTAGTCAAAATCATGTGCAAGCAAAAAAACATTTTCATGACCAACAACTGGTGCTGTATGTTTGAAAAATCTCTTAAGACACAACTTCCACAGCAATGACAGCAAAGTGACTCTTTCAGGTTCATACATAAAGAATTAGACAAATGACTGCTGGCACTCATTATTCATGCTGACACCAAATGACCTTAATGACCACACACTGCTGCTTATCCATGTGTTTGTGTGCAGCCCAAAATAATTCATGCCTATAACCAATTACTGGTACAAGCACCACTAGAGGTCAGACGGGTTATGTCCCTGAGACTGAAATTTAAGGCGTGTGTTTGTGTGTGTGACAGGAAGCACACCCATACCAGAGTGAGCCGTCAGCCCTGAACCATGTGTATTTCAGTCCCGGGAGCTCACTTCCATGGAATGTCTATTGTCTTTTCTCTTCAAAACCTGAGTCAACTGAGAAACACCCACTACTGCTGATTACTCTGACCTTTAACTCGTTCCATAATGCATCCTCATGTCCTGAATTTCATTCTTTCTTTCCTTGTTCTCAAAACTTTGAAACGTTGATGTTACACAGCAAAACGGCAATGAATGGTCATTACCAATAATCAATAATCATCTATTACGAGTGACTAACACAAACAGTATTATACCAACATTAATACAAAACAGGAGAAAACAGACACCTAGCTAACTGGAATGGTAAATCGATGGATGGAGCCAAAAATTAAATAAATCATATATAATAAAACATTTTGGATAATGTCTCGTCAGGTTTAGAGATTTTAATGAAGAATGTTTTACATATTATATGTTTAAAGCTGATTGACCCAAAAGAAACAACGTGCCATCAAGACCTGAGAGAATCCTTTTTGGAAACAAACAATAACTTGCTGTTTGAAATGGTAAAAGAAAAAGCAGGATACAACATGGTGTGATTTCTCACCGGCTCAGATGTGGTCTGTAACAGAGGCAGTAGGCTCCCCGGCTCGTCTGTGACAGTCTGTTAAAACACAGGAAGAAAAACAGAGGATTCAGAATGAGTGCTTAAATTAAATCATCTGCTAAAAGAGAGGAAGAAAATCAGGATGTTCCAGGATCCGGGATAAAAAAAACAGAGAATTCTGGTGTGGATCTGGCGAGGGAGCGGATTTATTTTTTGACATTTTACTTATTTCCCGGGGAATAATTCATGGTTCTTGATTAAAACGAAATGTTTAGGGCAGTGATATCTATACGTGCGTGCAATGTGGTGCAGCTTGATTGAGCTTCTGGGGACTGTTGGGCCGTGTTGGAGGTATGTGCTCTTCTAACTGCCATTAAAAACACATCTGTCAGACATGATGCCAAAGTGAGACATGGAAAAGACATATGACTGTACACAGCCTCTCTGCTCGTGAGGCAGGGTCAGGACAGCTCACCACAGATCTGGCATGTGGACAAATCCTTGCTGTCGGAGATGACAGTACGCACAGAACTGACAGGGAAATTATAGCCCACAGCGTAACACTTCCCAGGCATCCCAGTGATGCTATTTCTGACCAATATGGACATGAGTAAATGTCACAAGATCAAATAGTCCAACTGCCTGATAATCATAGTCACAGACGGTTATTTCAGGCATGCAAAGACATTTAGATCATTAGTGTGTTTCATACATTAGATGATCTATACTGAGTCTTAACATGAGTCAGTGTCTGTGTTGACAGCACAGACGAGACCACATCTGTCCAATATGAGCTCACACTAACCACAGGCCAGGGGCAACTGTCTGTTGCAGACACCAGGCGACATGACGGCCACTTTCTTGTTGAACTCTCCTCCACACGAGGTCAACACGCACAAAACCAGAGCCGGCGGCCTCTGAAGCTGCCGAGCATGCGGCGTCTACAACCTCCATCATTGAATTTCTGTCAGGAAGGCAAAGCTACAACGTCAGGGCAGGTGCTCCACTTAACGTGCAGCTCTCTGGTTCTGCTGCACAGACAACGACTGGAAATAATTTGAGGGAGAAGAAGGGAAGCATAGGATGAAAGGGGGCGAGTCAAATATAAGGCTACAGGCAGAGAAAATAAATTACACAGGGAGCAGCCCGGCATTTATTTCTACCCTCTGCTGAAGTCAAATTCAATGTCAGCAAGTCATTCATTTCATTTTCTGTTGTGTGAGAAGAAACTTTTAATATTCTATGAGTGTTGAAAAACATTTCAGCTTCTCAGAAAACAAAGAGTACAACCACTGCTTTTGTTTTTGGAACAAATGCTTTGCAGACCTCCGAGGGCAAACGGCGAATAGATTCTGAGAGTCGATTCATATTCTGCTAAATTGGATTAAAAAAATGGAATTACTGCTCAGAGTGACTCAACTAATCCAATGTTAAAACTGTGTGTTTTTCTCTGTCTCACTTGATAGTACACTGAATATCTTTGTTGGTTTGACAAATAATGATATTTGATAATGTCAACACATTTTTACATAACATCTTTTTTTTATTAAACTTTGTACTAATATTTAACAGATATTAAGATTTGACTATTAATCAAAATAAATAACAAATGCAATAGAATCAGAGCCATAAATTTGTTATTTGTATCCAGAACATATCTGCACATTGATCAGTCCAAAAAATGCAACTAGACGACAGAACTAGATTAGCCCAAAAGTCCCCTTCAATTCAATCAAGCTGCACGAAATCACAGACAGAGACTCAGTTGCCCTGAAATTCCCGTTAACTTCATCAACATCTATGAATATTCCCTGGTAAACTGTTGAAATTTAAAAAAACCCACAGTAACTCAAAAACAAATCCTGGATCAACCCCTGAATTTAATGGGTTCTTTGTTGGCACGAGTCACATCTTACCACCTACATCCAAGGAAATTTCTAGTTTTTACATGATCCTGCTGAACTACAAAAAAAACAAACAGGAAACAACCTTTCCGAGAGCACAACCTCCTTGGTGGAGGTGAAAATATCCCCTCATATCCCCACTGTTCCCTTTCCTCCGTTTAGCTGAATACATGTAAATCTGGTTTTAGTTTCTCTCTGGATAAAATGTGGTCTTGCGGCTTTGTCTGAGAAAAATAAATCATAGCCACAAGTTTATTCTCCTCCCGTGATCCACCAAACTATCTGAATCCCTGCATGCCCACGGGCTGCACAGACATCTGAGGTTACTGAGGGTGAAATTTTACCCTGAGAGTGCTGCAGTGTGGCCGACCTGAGCCGACGGCCCTGCAGCCTCACGACCAGCACAAACAGGAAGATGGAATCGGTGGAGATAAAACTCTATTAATACTCTTTCCAGTGCGGCATCCTGATCACACATACAAATGTGATCACATGATGAACTGATGCGTAATGGCTGTAAAATGTAATACGTGTTATTGAACAGCTACATTTTTCTTGAGTTTTCCCTCTCGACAACATGATGACACATATAGATGAAAACTTGGATTTACATTCAAGCAGCAGTCCGAGCTTTGTTCAAGTAGCCAGACGTTCCGTCTTAATGACACACCGTCAACGAGGGCCTGGGCACACATTAACCGCTTTGGATGAGCACCAACACAGACACAGCGGTGATCAATCACTACGACAACACGGCTTCGAGTGCTCACACGAGCAGCGTCCAACTTATTTCAGCTTCCATACATAATTAATGGTGATGTCGAGAGTGCAACCAGTGAAATACGATTACTAACTTCAGCGGATGCACTCAGAGCATATGGCCTTTTGGATCACGTGGTCCAGCAGCTCTACTTCAATACTGAGTTTGACTTGAGAGGAAAACACAAACACAAGACGGGGTCACGGCAGGTCAGATGGTTGAACAGAAAATACTCGATGCCTAAAGCCATGACGTCTGTAGTGAGGAACAGATCGGTGAGGGGGGTGAGGTTAGTCCATCTGAACTTCTCAGAGTAAAAACTTTCTGTCTCACTGCTGCGTTTCTTCTGTGAAACTACAATGACTTTAATAAAGGTCGTCAGTATCTGACCTGTTCAACAAGGAAGTTCAGCAGTAAATCTAAAGATGGACGACATGACAGCTCTTACAAAAGTGCGGCCAAATCGTCTTGATCGCCTCCTGGTGGCTGGCTGCAGTATAGATCATAAACCCTGCCTCCTCCATGTTAGTGGATGGGACATGGACAAAAATAGACCAAACGTTTTATATTGCTTTTTGATGCCAGGATGACGCACCAGATGTGTGGGCGACGCATTTGCATCATAGCACATCTTTCTTTTCCTCTCAGCGTCGATGTTATCAGATCAGAGAAGGCACGCTGCCCGTGTGAGACACACGTCTCAGGCATGCATCACACTGCTCTTTGAGTCGGGGTCTCTCCTATTTTCTCCACATGCAGTGCGGTTCACAGCAAAGTGGACCACAGCTCACCACAGTTAAAATCATTAACCTTTAACAAGGACTGAGTATAGAATTCTACATTTATTTGAGTAAATATATTACTCATACCAGAAAACTCACGTAGCAGTGGAGACGTTATCACACACACACAGGATATTTTGGCATTGATAGCACGACTTCAGTAGCTCACCTAGTGGAGCGAATACTATGCATCTGGGCTGAGTCCTCACTGCAGCAGCCAGCTGAATCAAAACACAATAAAAAGGTTTTTGTATTTTTTTCCTCTGTACTAGATTCAGTCCTCACACGACCTCAAATCATGAATCTCCTCAGTCTATATTCTACATTTTCCACATATGCAACAGCTGTTGACAGGGAAGTGGTTCAGACTTGTGGCCATGGCAGTAAAGTGGTTTCTGCATTAATGATACCACTGCAGAACTTATATTCATTTTTTATGCCAAACACATAAATTAAAAAAGGCACGACAATAAAAAACATACATTTCTACATTTGTGCCTCTGCAACTTTGGTTTAAGTTTTTACAATTAAAAAAAACAAAAAAAACCTTCAAAGCAGATTAGGGTTTTAATCGAGATCAAAAAGATTGAACAACAGCACATTTTTGTTTCCGATAAATACATTTTTGGTTCATTTATATTTATAGCATGCAGAGTCATTCACCAGAAATGCTTGAGTAAACTTCAGAATAATTGATGATTTGTTTTTATGTAGTAGAAACTGGATTTTCCCATAATTCCCTCTTTAAAAACACTCAATATCACACGTATCATAAAATAATAAATGCAATTTCAGGTCACAAATAATCATATTATAAAATAGTTTTATTATTGGCTCCAGAGATTCATATCCGATCAGACCCAGATGTTTGACGCTGTTAACTGTAAAAAAAAAAAAMAAMATCAAATTAGCAAAATCTGAGGCAGAAATGAGGCTTAATGAGATGAACATGTTGGAACAAAAAACTTTCTTTTGGAATAAACAGCTATATAAAAAAACATTAATAATGAGCAGCTGCCAGTTCTTTGTTACAGCCAATGAGTGTGATTTATAGAGATAAAGGAGGATTGCATAAAGCCAAGTGACTTAGAGTGTAATAAATGTATTAATAATGTATAAATTAATATATTTTCAGTAAGAAAAAGAAAAGACGTACATTTAAAGAGGAAAAGTGTGAAAGATCTCTTCGACTGGAGCTGATGAAACAGCAGCCAAATGGCATCAGATGCAGATGAAGCAGTAAATGAGAACACGTATGCACAGTTATCAGATTTAACAGGACGTCAATCGCTACCAAGTGTTTCCCGATCCCAGTTATTCCCTTTGATTGTTATCACAGCTTGTGAAATAAACATCACAACTGAAATATTTCCACTGTTGAACAACACAAGTGTCTACGTTATGTATTTGAAACATTTTCATTTGATTTATTGTGCAGTCAACGCCTGTTGTTTTTGTTTCGTTAACATTTTTGTTTTCCGCACAGCTGTGGTTTGTTCGGCTTGACACATTGTTCCTGTGATTGTTTTTTTTTTTTTTAGCACAGTCTTTTTAAGAAAAGTGCTTTCGACATCTCACAAGTGGCTTTGAAGTTAAAACGGAACTTTTGGC